CTTTGGATTCTTTTGTCTCCCTCTCTCTCTGCTCCTCACCCCCCACCCCCCCAATAAATAAAAACATTAAAGAGTTATTTGGCACTCCCATCTTATCTTTCTAGCCAAGTTTAGATAAAATAGTAAACTTAAGTGGTTTTCTAGGTGATTAACCATATCAAGAGGTTATTCATGTTAAAGCAAAGAGATGTCAGAGGTTTTTGTCTCCTAAATTGATGCTTGCTTGCTTGCTTTCTTGTTTCCTTTCTTTCTCTCTTTCTCTTTCTTTCTTTCTTTCTTTCTTTCTTTCTTTCTTTCTTTCTTTCTCTTTCTTTCTTTCTTTCTTTCTCTCTCTCTCTCTCTCTCTTTCTTTCTTTCTTTCTTTCTTTCTTAGTTTATTTATTTATTTTGAGAGAGACAGAGACTGTGCGAGTGGGAAGGGGCCGACACAGAGGGAGTGAGAGAATCCCAAGCAGGCTCCTCACTGCCCGTGGAGAGCCCAATGCAGGGCTTGAACTTACAAGACCTTGAGAGATCATGACCTGATCCAAAACCAAGAGTTGAACACTTAACCGACTGAGCTACCCAGGTGCCCCAGCCAAGTGTTTTAATGTTTCCTAAATCCTTATATACAAGGTACGTTTAAGAATTTTATACATAAAATATTTCAGAAATGTTGCCAATATGTTGTATAATCAATCAATATTCTAAAATATTTAAAGTATATTCAGAATAAGTAACTAAAATAAAAGGGTATTTCACAGAAATCTATTGCCTTGCCCTTAAGTTTAAAATTCAGAGAGAAGTCTTAGTGATGGCTTTCTATAACAAAAGACTTAGAAATTTTAATTGGCAGGAAATGGGGAATTAGCCAATAATGTAATATGATTTATCTGCCACCCACCCCCTGCCCCATCCCAAGTAGTCTTCTTAGAAATATAATGACCCAATTTATTTTTTTTTAATTTTTTTTTTAACGTTTATTTATTTTTGAGACAGAGACAGAGCATGAATGGGGGAGGGCCAGAGAGAGAGGGAGACACAGAATCCGAAACAGGCTCCAGGCTCTGAGCTGTCAGCACAGAGCCCGACGCGGGGCTCGAACTCACGGACCGCAAAATCATGACCTGAGCCGAAGTCGGCTGCTCAACCGACTGAGCCACCCAGGCACCCCTATAATGACCCAATTTAATTCTAAGTAGCTTGCAGAAAATTTGTAGTGTTGTGTCTAGTTTGAATACGGAGACATGTGTGAAATGTCTACACATTGTATTATGGCCAGTGTAGGAAAGACTGTGGCAGCTTGGGATATTTTTAGACTGCACTAAAGAAGACTTAAAAGAACATCATAGATATAGTCATTTGAAAGTATGTCAGGGGCACCTGGGTGGCTTGATTGAGCATCCAACTTTGGCTCAGGTCATGATCTCATGGTTTGTGGGTTCAAGCCCTGCATTGGGTTTCCTGCAGTCAGCACAGAGCCCACATTGGATCCTCTCTCCTCCTCTCTCTTTGCCCCTCCTCTGCTTGCTCACTCTCAAAAATAAATAAACACTAAAAAAAAAAAGTATTGGGGCACCTGGTGGCTCAGTTGTATAAGCCTCTGACTCTTGTTCAAGCCCAGGTCATGATCTCACAGTTCGTGAGTTTGAGCCCTGTGTCTGGCTCTGCACTGACAGCTGTGGAGCCTCTGCTGCTCTGTCTCTCTCTGTCTCTCAATAATAAATGTTAAAAAAAATTAAAACCCTCAAAATGATCAATGATCTTCATAGAAATTTTATAGTTTTAAAATAACTCTTCTATGATTTTAAAACTGTAACAATCTTAGAACACATGGATAAATCTTCATAACCTGCAATTTGGCAAGAGATTCTTGGATACCAAAAGCATGGGCAACAAAAGGAAACATGTAAATTCGACTCCATCAAAATTAAAACCTTTTGGGCATCAAAGGGCATTATCCAGAAAACGGAAGGGCAACACACAGAATGGTATAAAATACATGCAAATCATGTATTTGATCAGAGTTTAGCATCCAGAATATATATAAAGAACTCTTAGAACTCAACAAAAAGACAACACAATTTATTTTTTTTATTTTTATTTTTTTTCAATATATGAAATTTATTGTCAAATTCGTTTCCATACAACACC